TCCAAATGACCATCAAATTGATGAATAGACTAAGAAACTGTTGTATGTCCATATGATAGGATATTATTTGGCTATAAAAAGAAATGGAGAATTGATGCATGCTACTACATTGGAACATTGAAAACATTGTGCTACGTGAAAGAAGCCAGACACAAAAGACCACAAATTGTATGATCCCATTTATTAGAAACTAGTGGCCCGGTGCACAAAATTCATGCAGGACCAGGGCCGGGGTGGGAGGTGTCCCTCAGCCTGGCCTGCACCCTCTCCAATCTGGGACCCCTCGGGGAATGTCCAACTGCTGATGAACATCAAAAACATTACGCTACGTGAAAGAAGTCAGACACAAAAGACCACACATTTTATGATCCCATTTATTAGAAATGTCCAGAATAGGCAAATCGATAGTGTAGAGACAGAAAACAAATTAGTGATTGCGAGTTGGGGGAAGGGAAATAGGGCTGTTTTTTGGGGGTGTGAAAATATTCTGGTGTTTGATAGTGGTGATTGTTACACAACATAGTGAATATACTAAATTGTACAATTTAAAGTGGTTTAAATGGTAAATTTTATATGAATTTTTATCTCAAACAGAAAATTTGGGCCATATAAATTTACTCTTCTATTTCACTACTTAAGAGGATTTTAAAAAGTACTTGTCAAATGAAAAATGGCAATTATAATTTCTTAGAGGGAGTCTATGTAATTTTACTTAAGATAATGATTCTCTTTAACCAATTTTTTTTCTAGAACTTTAGAACCCTTAACCAGTATCTGTGTTTTCCCACCAGTTATTAATATTTTTGTAGTACACAGGTTAATCCTGAATTTATATCACTCATAAGTATGTATCATTATGGTATTGAATGGCAAAAAAATTTGCCATATATTTTAGTAAGTAAGTCTGTATTAGAAACTATATTTTAGCTGTTCCAATTTTATCCTCTCCCCCAATATTAGGACAAGAGGGAAAGATACACAGTGTGGCAGACTCCTCAGCTGTTTTGTGGTTGCTAAACTATAAATTACTTTTAAAGGAAATAAAAACCTGGTGTTGCATGGTTTCTTTCTTTAGGCTCGATTTTATTCTCCAGCCACCATATTTATTGATGAGATTGATTCCATCTGTAGTCGCAGAGGGACTTCTGAAGAGCACGAAGCAAGCAGGAGGGTGAAAGCCGAGCTGCTGGTTCAGATGGATGGTAGGCATGTGTGTGTGCGTGAATTGACTAAGCTCTGCTTGGTGCTAGCCCTCCCAACTCCCGTGACTACAGGGGGCTGGAGTTTGACAGCATTACCTGGTGCACTGACAGTGGAGTCATGCCAGAAATGATGGCTCTTCACAGGCACCTGCTGGCATATATGCTGTTCTCTTATTTTTAGCCATGCAATTGAAATAAATGCAGATAAATTTGCCTGAGAGGGATATGTATGCTTTTGAAATTAAAAAAAAAAAAGGTATGTAGTTGAGCTAGTCTTTTGATTGAGTCCGTTTTGAGTCTTATTATTTGCATACTACAAGAACTTATTTTTCTTGGACTGAAGTTTACGTATGTACCAGTTTGTTTTAGAAGTTTTAAAGAGGCTTGACCATTATACTACTTTGTAATGTTGTGCTAAACATTTGATGATCTTTAAGTAGTTGAGCTTTATTTATATAACTGAGTATAATTTTACTCTCCCCTTACCCTTCTTTTAGGTGTTGGAGGTGCTTCTGAAAATGATGACCCTTCCAAAATGGTTATGGTTCTGGCAGCTACTAATTTTCCCTGGGATATTGATGAGGCTTTAAGACGACGTCTTGAAAAAAGAATCTATATTCCATTACCATCAGGTATCTTCATGTGAATCTTGTCAGAAAACTCATGTTAACTCTTAGTTTTTCTTAGAAATTTTAAAATTTGTTAACTTTCTTTCAAGAGACAAATGTGGCATGTTTTTCCTTATATTAACTGGCTTGGCTATATCTAGAGCCCGAAAGCTTTGATATTAGGAAATGTAAAATTCAGTGAGGAAATTTTTAAGCAAATGAGCTCTAAGAATTGGTAAACAACTTATCATACAAAGTGGACTTGAGGAAAAATAATACACTGTATTTATGTTGAAGACTTATATTTTTAAATTTGTTCCTACCATTAGCAAAAGGCAGGGAGGAGCTATTACGAATAAGTCTCCGTGAGCTGGAATTGGCTGATGATGTTGACCTTGCACGTATAGCAGAAAATATGGAAGGTTATTCAGGTGCGGACATTACCAACGTGTGCAGGTATGAATTATTTTGGAAGCATAGGTTTTTGTGGGTCTAAACTTATGACGTTTTCATGCCAAGTTAAGAAAAAGACACACTTTTTAGTCTACAAAGACATAAATTCTGGTATTTAGTTAGTGTTAGCAGGTGCTAGTAAGATACCGGTATATCTTACAGATCAAGTTTACAGTTCATTTGAAAACTACAAGTTCAAGAAGCTAATGTTACAACGAAGAGTGTAAAATAGAAAATCTGTAATTGTCTTGGATTAAATAATGTTGGTGCAGTTGTTTAGTATACTGTCATGAAGGAAACAGAATTGTGAAATAAATTAATAAATGTGACTGCTATTAAGAATAAAATTTGGTGAAAGAGGCGCTTGAATCCAAAAGTTTTTCCTTAAAAAAAAAAAGGCACGAAATACGAGGAGAAACCACCTTCCTGGACATGTAGGAAATATATTTTTCTAGCTAATAGGTTTTCACTCAATCAAAATATCAATTTTTCTAAAAAAATTTAAAACCTAGGGATGCATCCTTGATGGCAATGAGAAGGCGTATTGAAGGTTTGACCCCAGAAGAAATCCGAAATCTTTCAAGAGAAGAAATGCACATGCCCACAACTATGGAGGATTTTGAAATGGCTTTAAAAAAGGTTTCTAAGTCAGTATCTGCTGCAGACATTGAAAGATATGAGAAATGGATATTAGAATTTGGATCATGCTAATTCTCACATGTAAACTGTGAGAAACCTGCCTTAAGTGTTTGAATAATTAAATGTAGTATTTCATTGCACGGAGTGCTATATTTTTTTAAACTTTCATAATGGTAAGATTTTTTTTAAAAAACCGTATGATTCTGAATAAAGGCAATTTTTTAAAGCTGTAAGCAATTTGTTTTACTTTAGCATTGCCTGATTTCTTTCACTTACTACAAATGTTGTAATACAGTCTCTGTTACTTAGTTTGGAAAACTGTCTTTATATGCACTTGTAAGTATAGCATCTTCCACCTCCATGGCTGCTCTTTCTTCTAGGTGGTAAGACTGGCTCTAGTTCCTTGGGTGCCAGTGGGAAACTGAAAATTCCGGAACATTTTTACACAGTAGCCAATTGAAACATGAACCAAGCCCAGTGTATCTTCCAGCCTGTGTTATGGTACCTTCCCTCCATTTCCTGGGAGATCTTTAAAGATCCTTCATTTCACTATGCATTTAAAATGAAAAAACATGTATCTATATACAACCTTGCCTGACTTTATTCTGCCTACATAGGAGAGGCTGCACTACAGGGAAGTAGATACTTCTAAGCCTATGCTGCTCAGTGTATTCTAATGAAACTCATTCACTCAGGATACTAAGCATAATTAACGGTTGATGATGTAAGTAAAAGTGAAATACAAGTTAATGGTATAAAATTTTAAATAAGATTTCTATTTATGATTACTTGTAAAAAAACCAAAAAACTTATTGTATCATCCCAAACATAGAGAACAGAGCCCCAAGAAGCCTGAGTGCCTTGCTGTGGTCCCTCCCACTGGTAAGGAGAAAAGGCAGGATAGGGATCTACTGACTGCGAAGCCTGTCCGCTCCAATTGGCCATGTAGCCTTCTACATTGTTCTCACCACAGTCTACAAGCTTATGCTGAATGGATGAAATAAGACCCTGTCATCATTTGGAGTCAGAACTGGTCATTTCTAGCAACTTAGTGAGGAAGGACAGAAAATAAATAGTGTTGACCAACTGGATGACTTTAAGATCTACATTATATGCTATTATTTATTCTATAATATGGAGATAGCACATTTCACAGGGCTGTTATTCCTTATTAAAAACGGGCAAAATGAAGCATCACTCCTTTACTCTCTACTGCCATGCTTCTCCCATACATCCGTATCTATTTAGCCTAAACATAAAGTGGCTTTAAAAACTTGCCATAACTTTCTTGGACAATGTGTTTAAAATGATGGGTTGCAATAAAAATCTTACTGATAAAACAGAATAGAAGGTATCTATCACATGGAGTAAAGATAAGTACTGTATGAACTAGGTCACACTGTAAAATATAAGTCAATAGGGTAATGGTTAAAAAAAAAAAAAGAAAAAAAAAGGCCAAACATTACTGTATTATAACCAGCCCTATACTTAGAACCATAAGGTATATTCTAATTCCATGATACTGATGGTCCTTTTAACTGACTTGAATGTTGGTTTCAGCCAGTGTACGTGAAGCAGCTATTATACAGAAATAATTTGAGCTTGGGTAAAGTATTTCTGCCCAAAAGACTATTTTTTCCTCAAAAAACATTTATTTTAGAGTGAGAACATGTCACTATTATTTTTGAATCCTAGTGTATTCAAGGCAAGTGGTCTTGGTACAATGAAATCATGATACACCTCAGTGATTTTTATACTGAGTCACAGACAATATAAAGGCACATTTGACTGAATAAAAAAATAAGTGTTAAGTTCTTGAGTTTTTAAATTAGAATTTCATAAAGTGCTTTTCATAAAGTCTTATATATTATAGTAATTAAGTGGATATAACTTCCTTAACAAAGGCACCTTGTAAAGTATTGGCACATGGCATTTTGTTTTGCCCATTTTTTTTCCTTTTTGGTAATTTTAAAGTTTCTTCACTTGTCTTCTCTTCCACTTTGTTTAAAATTTCCTTAACAATTCATCATCTGAATAGCCAGCCCTGTTAAAGAATAAGGTGAACTTTAACTTGACATTTTAAAGGTCAAGTTTTAGGAGTTGAGCAATTTCTCTAGTGTGTAAACTGATTCTTAATGATTTAAAGAAACATTCAAGTGGCAAATTTAGAGCCAATAAACTAATTCAGAGTCCATGATTTGAGGTGGTGTTTCAAATACATATTTTATCTTCAAGGATTTCTGTTGTTTTCTCAGGACCATCTGCATATAAGTTGACAGCTGCCACAGGTATAATATTAACTTTATCCAACTGAAGAATTCCTCTGAAATATAAAAATTAAAATTGGTAGTAAGATAGGGCTACTTCAAGTTATAATGAAATATATACCTGGGGTTAGGTGCTTTGCTTCATTTTATCTAGTTTATAATGATTATACAAACTCTTGAGTCCAAAGTTCACTTTAAGCAAACTGAGAAAATAGAAAGGTCTAAGAGGAAGTTCCTTACTTGGTACTATAGGAAAGGAAAGGATTAAGAATAGATCTCCAAGACAGGTAGGTAGAGCCCTAGACTTGCACAAGCTGGGCAAAAAGACTAGGCCCAAGCAGCTTTCTAAACAATACTCACTGCTTGAATGGAACCTTAAATCTTTAGACAGCATTTCTCCTTTTGCTACTATCATCCCTGACCAGAGGGGAGATATTTGCATTGGATCCAAGACCTGTACTGCAAGTTCAATATCATCCAAATCAAACCATCAACAGAAGTTAGTTTATAAAACTGAACAAGCTGATTATAAAGTTCATAGGAGAGAAACTGCAAGAACTGCTGTATCAATTTTTTGGACAGAACAGTGGAGAGAAGAAACAGCTGCCCTAAACAGCTAACAAAGATTTTATTGAAATATAATAATTACAGGGACTGAGGGGGGACAAGGGGAGGAATATGGGGGACATCTGTAATATTATCAACAATAAATAAAAAATAAGAGAATGCAGAATTGTAAGAACAAAGAAAAAAACCATCATAACAAAACTGCCATGGTCATAGGAATAGTTAAATAGATCAACGGAAGAAGAGAGTCCAGAAACAAGACTAATGTATACTGGAATTTAGTTCATAGTAAGTTAACAGTCCAAGTAATGGGCAAGTTACTACTCTAGCTTAAACTATACACAAAAGTGATGATAAATAAGTTTTAAGAAAACATGATTTTTTAAGATAGGAAAGGTCTACTTAAGAACATTAAAAACCTTAGAAGTCATAAAGGAAAAACATGAATTGCTTTCACTCCAAATGTAAAACTTCCATATGATATAGGATACCATACACAAGAGCAAAAGACAAATTGTAGTCTGGGATAAAAAAAAAGTATTTCTGCAATACATGTTATGGATGTATAACAGACAAAGGAGCCCCTACATATTAATGATTATAAAAGGCAATGCAATTGAAAAAACAGGCAAATGCTATAAACAGACATCTCAGGAGGAAAGAATGATTATAAAAGGCAATGCAATTGGAAAAAATAGGCAAATGCTATAAACAGACATCACAGGAGGAATATATATAGATATATATAGCTAATTATAAAGATGCTAGATTTAGCTACACCTAGACTAGCAAAGATGCTATTAAGAAAATGCAGCCTGGCCAGTGTGGCTCAGTGGTTGAGTGTCCACCTATGATCCAGAAGGTCACAGTTCAATTACTGGTCATGCCCGGGTTAGGGCATGATCCCCAGTAGGGGGCATGAATGAGACAGCCGATCAAAGATATTAATCATTGATATTTCTAATTTTTGTTGTTAATCCTCACCCAAGGATATTGTTCCATTGATTTTTAGGGAGAGTGGAAGAGAGGGAAAGACAGAGAAACATCGATGTGAGAGAAACACATTGATTGGTTGCCTCCTACATGCCCCCTGACCAGGGCCCAGGCCTGGGAGGAGCTTTCAACCAAGGCACGTGCCCTTGACCAGAATCGAACTCGGGACCCTTTGGTCTGCAGGTCAGTGCTCTATCCACTGAGCCCAAACTGGCTAGAGCTCATTGATGTTTCTCTCTCCCCGTCTCCCTTCCTCTCTGAAATCAATAAAAATATTTTTTTTTAAAAAAGAGGAAAATGTAAATTAAAATGGGTTATATTTTTGGCCACACAGCAAAAACTATTACCAGTGTTGAGGAAATGTTAATTACATATACTCTTTCATCCAGTAATTTTATTTTTAGGAATCTATTCCACATAAATATACATGTGTAAAGATATATACATACATTAACAAATGAACACTACAGCATTATTGGAACTAACATGAATGAAAGAAGATATTTGCCGATGATACATCTGATAAGGGGTTAATATCCAAAATACATTAAAGTATTCATAGAGCTTAACACCAAAAAAACCCCACCAAAACCCAAAGACTCTGATTAAAAAAATGGGCAGAGGATCTGAACAGACTTTTCTCCAAAGGGGACATACAGATAGTAAATAGACTTATGAAAAGATGCTCAATATCACTAGTCAGAGAAATGCAAAATGAGATATCACCTCACACTTGATAGAATGGCTATCATCAATAACTCAACAAACAGGTGTAGATGAGGCGGTGGAGAAAAGGGAACTCCTCGTGCACTGTTAGTGGGGATGTAAACTGGTACAGCCACTACGGAGAACAGCATGGAGGTTCCTCAAAAATTTACAAGTAGAATTACCATATGACCCAGCAATTCCACTTCTGGGTATTTATCCAAAGAGCTCCAAAACACAAATTCAAAAAGATATATGCTTCCCTATGTTCCTTGCTGCAGTATTTATAGTAGCCAAGATATGGAAGCAACCTGGTGTCCACGGATTAAGAAGTGGTGCATATCTACAATGGCCATTTAGTCTTTATCAATATAACAGAACTGGCAGTTAATAACTATCTATGGTGTCAGGTGGGTACTGGACTTACTAGGAGGATCACCTTGCAAGTTATATAAAGTCTAATCATTATGCCGTACACCTGAAACTAATATAATACTGAATGTCAACTGTAATTGAAAAATACAAAATTTTTAAAAAGCAAAAAATATAAAGTAACTACAACCCAGTTATTAATCACTAAAAATACTCATGTTTCAAAAGGAAAAAATACTTACTTGTATTCACAAACTGGGAAAAGCACCTTTAAGATGGTTATTACCACAGCTGCTCCTATAATTCCAACCACCATGATGTTCAAAAACATAA